AAGAGCTGAATAATTTTTTTTTTTATTCAACCAAGAGCTCTATGTACCAAGTTAGGTGAGTTTGGGAATCTGGCTTGGCCCAACACAGCACCATGCATGTTTACCAAAAGTCCAATATTGTGCTCAAGGATCCTATTATCATTTCATATAGACTTGACTTTATTAAAGAATTTAGGAAGATTTTATATAGTCTACATCCTTTGTTGAGTTTGTTCTTTTTTATTTAATCCGCTTTGACTTTTACACTATTCACCACCTTTTTTTTGATTATTTTTGTGAATTATATATAAGTAAAAACATATTCACGTGGGATGTTATTAGATTCGTGTTAACAAATACTATCATAATACAAGTATATAATTTCTATAATTTTTGTTATTGGTCGTTAAAGTTTTGTATTGGAAAGCGTCACATGTCAAGTAAAAATTAACCGAGAAAGTATTAAACACATTATTCTATACTTATTGTCTCATTATCGTATTACAAATTGTACTACTCCCTCCGTCCTCTTTTGCTTGCAATATTGAGGTTTTTTTTTTTTGGTTGAATAGAATAGCTAAGAGAGAAAGATGGTGGGGCTAAAATAAAAAAGAACAAACTATTATAATACAAGTATATAATCTCTATACTTATTGTCTCATTAGCCGCTAAATGGAATGGTTGTATGAGTAAAGTTGTGATCTCTTACAACCTAACATATACGTGATAAACTTAAAGAGACGACTAAATAGGTGATCATTAAATGGGGGTATCTATGTTATTTGAATAACTATTTAAGTATGACATAATTCTATTGCTAAAACATTGTTTATATACCTATTCATAACTCATACATGATGTTGAGATAATCCTTAAAAATATAAACACGATTTTTCTCAGCTTGGTTCGGCTCGGCTCGGTTCAGATCGTACCTGGTGAACTCGACTTGACTCGCCATGAATTAAAGCACGGACAACGGGACAAGAAGGAAGATACTAATCATACACCTAGGACAGTTAGGAATGCGTGCAATTATCGCCTTCCCCCTGGTAGTTCGTGCATTTATCCCTTCTTTTTTGGGGCAGTTAATGCTTACAACCACCGCTTTCCCCCTAATTTTAGCGCTCTTCCTTTCTCACGGTAATATCTTGCATTGCACTTCATTGAGGCATTTCGTCGAACACGAAGATGGCAGACTCTGATCAGCAGCTAAAGTCCGACGCTTTCTTGGAACAGATGAAAACCCACCTCACCACTGATGCTGGGAAAGAGATCACCAAGAAAATTGGCCTCGTTTATCAGCTCCACATCGCCCCCAAGGTAAATTAATTATTTTCATTTTTTTTGTTGTTCATTTTTGTTGATTTTATGATAATTTCTTGTGATTTGCCTAAGTTTATTGAATTTGCAGTAATTTGATTAGTTTTATTGATGTGGGGTTTCCTTAATTGGCAGAAATTGGGTTTTAATGAGGTGATTTATACTGTTGATCTTAAGAAAGGAGAGGTTAAGAAAGGTTAGGGTTTCCTGATCAAACTTTGTTATTTTATTTGGTTACTAAAATCTTTGAATTTTGATTGTTAATTTTATCAAATTATGTAAAAATTTGTTGGGTTTTTTGAAATTCAGGTGCTTTTGAAGGAGGAAAGCCAGATGCAACATTTTCATTCAAGGATGAAGATTTCATTAAGATTGCAACAGGGAAAATGAACCCTCAAATTGCTTTTATGAGGGGTGCAATGAAGATTAAGGGTAGTATTAGTGCTGCCCAGAAATTCACTCCTGATATATTCCCTAAGCCTTCTAAGATGTGATCCATTCCGTCTTTTCGAATGCAAGAGTATGGTTCTGGATTGCCATTGAAAAAACAAAAAAAAAAAAAAAAGAAAAAAATGAAACAGCATAAGAAAAGTGCCAATACTTATATAGTTTAGGGAATATCTCTGTTAAGAATCAGGGAATTCATTGTTGTTTATTAGATTCCTGATTCTTTTTAAAATTTGTGGTATTTTCTGTACTTGCTACTTTGCTAGCGAATAAAAATTGTCTTAATTATCACATCTGTGATTTAGCTTCAATTCCTTTTAGTAATTGTGTACATTGTTCATTTTGTGACGTTTGTTAGTTTGAGCTTCTATGGGCATTTTTATTGCAGCAGTTGTGTGTAAACTTATGGATTGTGTTTCCTATAACTGAGTGGTAGATGAAATGCAAACTGAGTGCACTACTGCACTGGCACTTCCATCTGGTTCTTGTGTATGTCATGGACCTATGAATCTATGAGACTATGATATGATATATGCCATTCAAGTTCCGTTTCCCAGTAGTCATTTATGGAGTAGTACATAGACATTGTTTATACCAGATTGTGATCAGGCTGATGTTGCTGGTGGGGACTCAAGCAGTCTAGCTGGCCTGAGTCTGAAAAATTGGTGCAATTCTTGAGCATTGTTGAATGAAAAAACAGGATCGGAGATAGGAGAGACGTTTTGTCAAATGCTGTGGTGTAGGCCTTGGATTTGCAGGAGACAAGAATCTGCTGCGACAGTAGTTGAGATTTAGGCATTTAGCACGACACTTGTTCAGTAAATTGCCAGGCAGAAACAGGTAACATTTTTCATTAGTGATTCATAATTACTTTTGTTTTCAGTTCTTCCTATCGTCTGCCTTGGTAAGAATTAAGTTTGCTCAATTGTCTTCAGAATTTTCCCTTACAATAAGCTGTTTGTCAGTGCTATTAGTTTAGGCTAGTCCTGCTTTTAGAATTAGATCCATCCATCTATCTTTAATGTGTTTGGATTTTTAATTTTAGGGAGAATGGGAAGAAGACAGAAACATGGGAGAGAAGGGAAGGGAAGGAAAGATAAGATTTTTCCTTGAATTCTGCAACTTTGGAAAGAAATATAGTTCATTTTAGAGAGAAGGAAAATCAACTCCTCACACCTTCCCTTGGCTTCCCCATCATCTTATTGATGGAAAATAAACCCTTACTTCCCTCTTCACCTCTTCTTTCTAACCCACATCTGAACAAATTGTTAGTTTGTGAGTTTATGTACTTTTCCCATATAGCTCATAGTGTCGCATTTGTATTTCTTCCTTTTGCAATTATATGTAATTTGTCAGTTGCAGTATTTTTGTTATAGAACAACTGGGTATACTGACATCACAGGAAGGAATCTGAACCCTGAATCTTTCCGGCGTGAAGGAAATAAGGAATAGACTCTGTTTTATTATTGGATGTCATAAGAAATGCTTTAAAGTGTGCCAAGGGTGACCCTTGCAGTCTACTACAGCGTATGTGATACTGATTTTGGGCTCGTTGGTTGGTGGATCCTCTAAATAATCAGGGTGAAAAAAAAGATGTCAAATACTGGATGTTTTCTTTCAGATGAAACTGACAAAACTGATCTAGTCATTTCATATCTTCCTGTAATAGCCACACTTGAAGTGTCATATAATCATGGAAGAGGTTTCTGGAAATTATCAGACCTCCCTAAAGATCTGGAATCTTTTCTGAAGATCTTAGTGTGATTAACTTCGTATTGGAATTTGAAGTGTGTTTGATATCTATTCTTGGTTGGTTATCTTGGACAAAAAGAGTTCCAGAGCCCACTAGCAAAACTCTGGGGCATCAGAAGGCATAGAAACATGAATTCAACTAGACAAAAGTCATGTGTACATCAAGCCTACTTGCTAGCTTAGCTTGCAGCTAGTAGTAGAAGTTTCAGTCCAGTCAGAATGCTGATTTATGACAGGTAATCGTAATTTTGTATATTTTTCTAAATGCTATTCAGCGATGTTTATAAGGATTCCCCCCCCCCCCCCCTCTCTCCTTTCACTATATTGATTCTTGCTTGTGGGTTGCAAAATATGTATTCTTTGGTTAGATTTGGAAGTATGGATGGCTAATTGATACCCCTAGGTTAGGGGAATTAATTGATACCCCTTAAATTAGGGGTACAATTTAAACTGAGAGAGCAATAAAAACCAAATTATAAGAGGATGAATATAAGTGCATCATCTTTTTTCAAACATGACCTGACACCTAGGATTGATCCTAGTCATTGCCTTTGTTCTGAATACGTAGTACATATATATACAAATTACATAGATACATAATACTAGAAGCTTAAAGGTAACTTAGTTTAAAGCAACCTTACAGTAGTAGGGTTTGCCAGGGATCAACTCTTATCTGGGGCAGGGAGGTGAGAAGCTTTTGTGGGATCAAATCGGTGGTGTTTGTGTATTTGGGATAGGAAGGGCTCAGCTCAAACCTCAGCGTACCTGATAAAAACTGAAACCTATGGGCTATTGAAGGTATCATCAATCCGTCCCTGCGGTAATTCATCATAGTCCTTCGAGTTTCTGAAGGCAAAAGTAGAAAACGAGGAGTTAAAGAGCGATTCTACTGTGCTGTTAATCTTCTTCATTCTTTTATGGTGACGGATTCGCCTTAAAATCACCTCCCTGTCCATCTTCTCTGAAGGATGCATCGCCTTTAGACGTATTTGACTAGTGATGTGAGATGGATATGCTAAAGCATCTTCTTCCAAGTATCCAACTTCTTCATCTTCATCTTCTTCAATCTCAACTTGGAGATTTACAATCTCAAGTTTGGATTCCTCTACCCTAGACATCATTTCAGAAGATTTCCAATTCATAGCAGCTAAAAATTTTATTGGGGATAGAAATAGAAAGTGTTGGGAGCTTAGTTTGTGAGTCAAGGTTGGGAGGCATAAAAATATTGCAACATGAATAGGCCGGTGGAATTGGATTCTGCTTGTTTCACTTTTATGGGACCAATTGGCGATTTGGCTCTATTATTAACACTTACAGAATCAGTCACTAAGTGCTTTTACTATTGCCAAGTTTCATCCTAAGCTGCTTTCTTGTATCTCAGATTCTCGGTGATAGGAGGTCTCGGGTTCGAGCCTTCTTAGGAAGTGTGGTATTCATTTGATGAGTTGCTAGAGTTACAACTTAAGACTTGATCACCGAAGCTGTTACAAACTGGCACTTCACGGATCTTTCATCTATATTTTCATGTTTTACCGTGATTGGTTAGTTAGCCTTATTGGGTTCTAAAAGTCAATCATTCATGAATCCCATCAAAATTAAATCTTCTACATCACTCAACTCTAGAGTGGGGTCAAGTGTAATAATGAATGCAAAGGTCATCAAAAACTAGTGTATCCACCAATTCTATCGGTCTGTGATTTTTAATGACATACCCGTTCTGTTTTTCTGAAAGTTTGACTCGTTTGACCTTCAATGCGGATATTTGACCGTTAATAATTACAACTAATTGTTGTTTATATTTCAGGTTTTCTTCTGATCTTAATATTTGGATTATTTATAACTTCTAATCTTAAGCATGCAATTGCTTTCATTCTGCCGTCACTCCAGCATGCAAGTGACCTGAAAGCTTTGTTATATATTTTCAAAACTTCAGTCATTATTGGATTGGGTCATTTTGGTGTTGGATAAATATTGAGAAGTGAAATATCGGACTAGTTAGTTGGTTTTAACAGGGATATACAATTGGTAGGTGTATAAGTGTATTATTTTGTTAGGTTTCAAGTCAAGGTAGAATGGAGATCGAAGAAAGTGCTTCCTTGGTCCCACATATGGGGCAATCTTAGTGGGATGGAGGAAAATACTAGATAAGATATGGAGTAACATCTTTAATTTCCGAAGGACTTGAATAGTATTGGATTGTATCAAGTTAACATCATGTTCTATTCTACATGCTTGTGTAGCCGTTTTGCGTCACAGTTTTATTGCTTTGCTTTGACTTAGTCTATTTGAAATTAATTTAGAGTCCTAAGCTTGTAGATTACCTAGTAGATGTCTATTCAAATTGCAGTTGAGCTTGCCTCAAAAGAAATTTAATGTTAGAAGCCATATATAAATGCCAACACATACTGTACCAATAGATCTTCATCACAGGCATCAAGTTGACACACCAACTAAAAAATCATTGAGCATATAAATGCTGCAACCAGAAGAATTATTGGTTTTTATCTGAAACACATTCGCATCTGCTCAACAAGGTTGACAGTGCACCTTCTTTGTTACAATTCAACATGCTTTTGAGAGTGCTTCTTGTGGCTCTTTCGCTGCAGTTATGTGCTTCTACTGACACTATAACTCCTAGCAGTCCCCTCAGAGCAGGTGATGTACTGACATCTAAAGCCGGGAAGTTTACCTTGGGTTTTTTCAGCCCCGGAAATACCACTCGAAGGTACGTCGGAATCTGGTTCACAAAGGTTTCTGTGCTTACTGCTGTTTGGGTTGCAAATAGAGATAGACCCATCTATGGTTCCAATGGAACCCTTTCGATCATCGAAGGCGGGCATCTTACACTTACCTCCGGGAAAAACTGTTGCATGGTCCACAAATATTTCGGTTCCCGTCTCCCTAAACAAAACTAACAGCACCTCATGTCAACTTCTAGATTCTGGAAATTTAGTCTTGACTGCTGATAATGGCAAAACTCTGCTGTGGCAAAGTTTTGATCACTTAACAGACACTTTTCTGCCAGGAATGACGCTTGGGTTAGATAAAAGAACTGGGTTAAACCGTTATTTAACCTCTTGGAGATCAAAAGATGATCCAAGGTCTGGAAAATACACCTTTCAAGTTGACCCAAAAGGATCTCCTCAATTCTTCTTGTACCATGGCTCAGACTTAATATGGCGAACAGGTCCATGGGTAGGACAGAAATGGAGTGGAGTACCAGATATGACTCATGCTTATATCTTTAACTATAGTTTTGTCAGCAATGCAAATGAGGTTTCCGTAACCTACAACCTTCTTAGCGATTCCATCATCACAATCTTCTCGGTGGATGGTCTTACAGGAACAGTCCAGAGACAGACATGGCATGAAAATACGAAACATTGGACTAAGTTCTGGTCTGCACCAAAGGAGCTTTGTGATCAGTATGGGGAGTGTGGTCCTTTTTGGTAACTGCAACCCCAATGGTGGCAATCAATTTCCAGTGCACCTGTTATCCTGGGTACTTCTTTCCTGTCTTGCTAATGAATTCATATATT